AGTATAGGGACTAAATGTATGTTGGGGGAAGTGAATTGCTGCAAATTGGAGGGGATATAATTGCTGAAAAAGTAGTGTCTGAAAAGATGCTATCATTGGAATAGTTTTGCTATACTTACATTTTGGATGACAGTTTTGTTTATATCCCATGATATGTCATACAATTTTGCCATTGATTTGAACGACACTTAAAACAATTAATAGCCTCGATTTTTACACATCATGAAATGTCAATCCAAGCGTACAAATGAAATGTACAAATAGCTTAATTCATTGTTGGAAAGGACATGTCTAAATAATATATATTTGAAAAGAAAACTAAATCTTTATTTTATTTCTCTACAAAGAATATAGAGAACAATACATAACTCTTACATATAAGCATTACATTTCAAATAACAAACTTATCAAATTATATCAAAATTCAGGTGTTAATTATTAATAATATATTATATATATTATTAATTGGAATTAATTATCTTCACCCAACCCACCCCACCCCACGTACCAAATCACCCCACCAGTAAAAAAATTTCAAAATTGAAAGCGTTTCTCGAAATTACACCCCACCCTCGGAACCACACCACACCTAACCCAACTTGTAAAAAATTTCAAAAAATTAAAAATCTTTTATGGAGATTACATCCCACCTCTAAACCACACCATCTAACCTATAAAAAAATTTCAAAAATTTCAAAATGTTTTTAAGAGATTACACCCCACTCCACAAATCACCACATTTTTGTGACTAACTGTGTTATCTGTGATCAATTTTTTTTTTTTGTGGCAAGACCTATGTTATATGTGACTAATTATGATAAAATTTGTCTTCAGTTTGACTGTTTGTAACCGTCTAATTTGTGACCGTTTGCAACCAAGTCACTAACTTATGGGGTGGGGGTGGGGGGGGTGGGAAAATGTATTTGGAATTGGGATGAATGGGGAGGGTGGGGGTGAATATTAGGTTTAATTAAATTTTAATTAATTATAATTCTTAAAATTTAATTACCACCTAATTTTTGAAATGATTACTAATTAATTTTATTGTTTGTTATATGATCATTTTCAACCACACATTCATATAATAAAATATTTTACACGTTTTTCTAAAACTTTTCCCTACTTTTTTAACCACACATTCTCTTAAAAATACTATTTAAAACTCTTTTTTTTTTCCCAATCAATGAGAATCAGACAGTCACTAAATTTAGAATATATTAAGGGTGTGTTTGATATGATTGATTTTCCATGGAAAATGAAAAGCCATTTTCCATGTTTTTGGGTGTTTGATAGTATGTTTTTCTTGGCAATTGGAATTGTCACTTTATCTCACATGGTGACAATTTCTAGCTTTTCCTTGAATTCTTTTTCCCACCATTTAAGTGGGAAAATGGTTTCCATGTTTTTTTATTTTTTATTTTTGCAATGAAAACAAATTTCATAACTAGTTGTAAAAAAAAAAAAATTCACGTTAATGGAC